CAGGAACCAAACTCACAACCTTGCGCTTGCCAGGCAGGCACTTTGCCACTGAGCTAAATCCCCATTCCCGATATATTTTCTTTATCAAGTCTTCTATCTCTAAATGTGCCTATTTATCCATTTATTTAGGTCATACGCCATTTCTCTAAATAACAGCTTGTGATTTTATTCATAAAAGTTTTTCACACATTTTGTTAAATTTATCCTTATGATGTCCTTTCATTACTAAAAGTGTTTATGCTTCTCAACTTCAGTTTTAAAATGGACTCCATATAAAATAGAATGTCTCTAAATTTTACCCTATAAAGTAATATTTGCTTTAGATCTTTTGCAATTACCTTTATTAGGCTAAGAGAGTTTCAATTTCTACTTAATTAAAAGTTTTTTAATCCATTAAATTATATTAAATACTTAGTGAGTATCTTAATGATTGATTGATTGACAGACTGATTGATTGATTGATTGAGACAGGGTCTCGCTATATAGTTCAGGTTGGGCTTGAACGCACTATGTAGCTCAGACTGACCTCAAATTCAAGGTGACCTTCTTGCCTCAGCCTCCTGAGTGCTGAAATTATATGCATGTACCGCCAAAGCCAGCTTTCAGTGGTTGATTTTAATCTGTGAAAAATATTTCAATTTCCCAGGATTGTTTCTGAAGAGGAATGTGTTTCCTTCAACTAGGAGTCCAAGTACTATAACTGTCCCCTTCATAGTTACTTCATGTAATCTAAGAACTTTAGGTCAAATTTTAGGTCTCTATTAAGCAAATCTCCACATATACAGCTTAGTTTCCTGATTACATAGGAACTGATGCTTTTCACAAGACAACTTCATTTTGCTTACACCTAGAAATCACTGCTCCAACTCTAGTACCACTGAGATTTTTAAAATTGTCACTGATTCATATGTATTGTAAGTTTTAAAAAGTATAAACACCTCTAAATTCCTTTTAATGCATACCTGATGACTTGCACATAGCACAGGATGAAAACCCAATGCAGAATCCCCATCCCTCCCATGGAATTTGTATATCTGTTCATTTAAAAACAAAATGAATTGAATCTCTATTGAACTGAATTCTACTGAATATCTAATACATGCCAAGCAACGTTGTTGGAACTAGGGGACACAGGAAACAAAACGAGGACAAAAATGTATGCCTTTGTTCTATTACATTGTATAGAGAAAAATACAAACAGTATCACTGTAAAACATACACTACACCATGTTTCTAGAGCTAAGTACTAAAGGAAAAAATTTAGACCAAAGAAATGGGTAGGAGTGCAGAGGAAGACGAGGAGATAAGTGGATATCTAGAGACTCACAGGGAAGGTGCCTGTGAGGGAAGACTGGAGAGAGAGGAGGGTCTGGCCGGGGTGTTCGGAGGAAGCACGCCGAGCACAGCAAGCACTCGGCACATCACCCGCAGGGAGCGGGGTCTGGGTGTTGGTGGATCCACAGGGACAAAGCCGTTAATAAATGTAAATAAATAAATCAATGACATGTAATGAATTATTATAGAACAATCTACTGTTATCTTCTCCTTGCATTTGCATTATTTCATTTATTTTAGTCTTTCCTAGATCCCGAATATATTCACCAATACGAAAATCTGAATGAAGTACCACGCACAGTAGCAAAGACTGAAGAACGTCCCAAAGCACATATGGAGCAGGTTCCGGCATGTTTTCTGGGTGAAGAAAGCAAAGTCCAGAGAATATCTACAGTATGCTTTATTCATGGAACAAAAATGATAAATAAGACAGATGTATATCTGTTCATTTGGGCAAAAATAAAGATAAATAAACAAGGAACTATTGAAGTACAGCACCCATAGGGGGTAGCTGGGAACAGAAGTAATAGAAGTAATATTTCTCAGATCATGTCTTTTTCTACAGTTTGGACATTTGGGCCTAGGTTAATGTTCCCCTATGTAAAACAGAATATTAAAAGGGTGAGTTCAAAACTACCATGGGATATGATGAAAAGCAAATTAATCTGGGTGTATTCCAATGAATAATATAAGCAACTGCAGAGGGGAGGACACTTGACCTAAGTAGCTTTTAAGTAATCACAATCATGTGATTTCTTCTACTTTCAGGCTATAAACAAAATCAAACCTCAAAAACCAGGAGGTTTGATTTCTATCATGGTATGGAGCTAGCAATTCTAAAACTTCTTCTCTGTATTGCAGGACTGAGCCAAAGAATAAATAGATTGTGGCACTAGGCATCTCACTGTTGGAGAAGGGAGTTACAAATATGGAAAGAGAGAAGAATAGAATGAAATCTATGGTAAAGGACTGAACTGGAAAAACTGGCATAAATTGATGACATATAGAAAGAAACGGATGTAAAGAGACAAACAAATGTGCACACATACTTTGTTTTGTGTACTGAGAGCGCAAAAAAGCAATGGTATTCCAATAGCAACGAGCCTTGGAGCATCCAGGTCTTGGTTCTAAGTATTGGTTTCTACCAAGAAGAACCAGTCTTCCTTGGAAAAATGGCAAATGTCATTGCTGGGTCTTAGAAAGTACAGGGTGACTCAGGGTATCTTGTTTTTCCACAAAGTAAAGAAATGTTCAAAAATGCTAAGGAGAAATCAAAATGACACTCAAACTACTCTGAGGGCTTCCACTGGGCCAAGTAAAGAACAACTTGTGCAATGAAATAAATAATGACAGTACAATTGCAACACATTGAATAAACAAAATTCAAGTTGATATAGACTCTGAGTACATGATAAAACCATCAATGAAGGAAAACCAGGGGAGAAGAGAAAGCTTTTATTCACAATTTATTTACAATAGAAGGCCAGTTTGTGAATATAGAAGTCATGACCGAATTAGAAAGAATACCATTTGGCAATCACTACAGTCATAATTGTCTGAGATAAGAACTATTAATGTATGCTAATATTAGAGAGTGAAGCATAAGGAAAAGATGAGGCTATTTACATAATTTTGCAGGCTATCCCCACAAAATCCTTATTAATTAAAGGGAAGAAGAGTAACTTTATACTCGACAAAGCTGGCAGACACCAGCTTCATTCCATGCTCAAAGTTACCACCGCTTTAGTTAAGTAATCAAAGTTACCACTGCAAGTCATAGGGCCACTAGGTAACACAGGCCCCCGATAAGGACATAACGTCCCTTCTTTGGTATTCCCGCCGAACATGTATGGCCTGAACCTGTTGCGAAGAAATGACAGACAGACCCAAATGAAGGGAAGTAGCAGCTGGCCTCCAGGGTGGTCCCAACCGTTCCCCTCCTCCTCGCACTCCCCTCACTCACAGTGCCCTTCCTTAGTGAAAAGGGTTGATCAGTACTATAACCGACAATCATCTGGCATAACGTAATGTGACCTTTGCAAATCCATCATGGAATACATTCCAGCTTATGCCTTTCATGATCTGGGAGAAGCCAGTGCCTGAGGACACTCAGCACTTGTGCAGCCCAACAGTGAGGTCCACATGGTGAAGAAACCGGGAGCTACGCAGGAGGCACACGACCCCCTGCGGCTGCTGCAGCCCTAGGCAGCCCTCTCCCGGCTGCTGCTCACTGAGGTCGCAATCTGCCAGGACCCCAGGCCTTGCTGAGCCGCTCTCAAGTTCCTGACCACAGAAGCTGTGCAAGATAGTAAGTACTTATTCTTGCTCCCAGCCACTAAATTTAGGGCAAACTGTTACTATGCAATAAACAACAAATTTAAAAGTCATTCTACAAAAATAATTACTGCCCTCTTCAGAGATGTCCAGGTTGTGAAAGACCAAAACAGAAAAGTACCTGAGGATGTTTTCCAAACTAAAGAAGAAAGACACGATCAAATTTGAGCTGTGTGGCCAGGCATGGTGGCGCATGCCTGTAATCCCAGCACTTGGGAGCTGAGGCAGGAGTATCACAGAGAGTTTGAGGCCAGCCTGAGCTACAAAGCGAGACCCTGTCAAAAAATAACAACGAAAAGCAATCTGTGACCTTGAACTGGGGGAAAAAGGTTTTGTTACTGCTACTGTTTTGCTGTAAGAGAAGCTATTCAGATGATTGTCAAACATTGAATAGAGTAGGTTATAACAGAGCATTGTCCCGATGTTAATTTCTTTTTTGGATCATTGTGTTCTAGTTATGGAAGAGAATGTCCCTGTTTTTTAGGAAATACACAGTGAAGTAATTGGAAAAGATATTAAATGCCTATAATTTATCTCAAATGTCTCTAAAATAAGTTGTGTAATTATAATCATACAATCACATATATGTACTTGCATATATCTTTTATCTCTATCTAGGGAGAGAATCATACGGAAAATATAACAAAACGCCAACACTGCAAGAATGTGAGAGATTGGCACTGGGAGATTCACACTAGAGCATTCCCGAAAGTTATCTGCAGAAATTACATGGAAGTAAAAACGGACATAATAGCTGACGCGGCTCTATTCCTAAATGTCTTAAGTAAACTGTTCTGTGAAACTGAAGGTTGAATCCATCCATAGGTAAAATGGATTTAGTGGACCCAAAACAAAAAGGTAAAAGTCGGGCGGAGGGTGGTACTGGGGGTTGAAATCAGGGCCTTTGCACTGATCTACATAACCTGTCCTTTTTACTTTTTTTTTTTTTTTTCTGAGGCAGGGTTCCCCAGGTCGCTAAAGTTGCTCAAACTGAGTTCAACCTGTGATCCTCCTGCTTCAGTCTCCCAGGGTGAGGGAGCTGACACTATGCCTGGCCAGAATTTGTAAAAGGTATAGGCTAGCTCAGCACGCAGGCATTATAGATTAGTAAGGTTGAGTGCTACTTTGTGAAATTCAATTCCAGAATTGGGGAAAAAAAAAAAAATGAATACACTGGGTTGCATGGTCCAAAAAAGTTGGATAGTTCTGGGGGAGGGTGTGAGTCTCCCGGGCCCCGACCCGGCCAGGGCACTCCTCCCACCCCTCCTGCCCCTCCCCGCTCTCCCGTGCCTTCCGCCCCGCCACCTGCAGGTGCGCGCACGGGCCTCCACGTGGTTCCACCCCGTACTTAAGGGCCGCCCCGGGCTGCCGCTGCCTGCTGCCCCAGCGCTGCCCGTCCTCCCGGAGCCGCCGGAGCGCACGCGCTGCTGGGCTGCCGGGTGACATGGGCGTCCCGGGCCAGTTCTGGGTTTTCTTGACTCTCCTCTCGCCAGGGGTCCTCGGTGAGCTAGGGGCGGGAGGTGCGGAGGTGCGGGCGGTAGGGAAGGTTTCTGGCTGCAGCGTGGGTGGCACTCTTGCCTGTCCCCGCTAACTTCGGGGACGCTCGCAGTCTCCTGGTCCTGAGTGTCTCGGCTTCCGCCCCTGGCAGCTGGAGGCAGAGGCACAGAGGAGCGCAGTGGGATGCAGCTGGTGTGGGCTGGGGCGCGCTCGCTCTCTCCTCCTGGGATCCGCGCCCGGGACTCAGCAGGTGCCCGCCTCTCTGCCCCTGTCTGCGCGCGCGGAACCCGAAGCTGCCCAACCTGCGTGTAAGGACCTCGCACGCGCCCGTCTCTGCACCCCAACCGCGCTCCTGCCAGAGAAGGCACTGGGCACAGCTCCTCAGCCTAAATAAGGATGATGTCTGCTTGCCAAGAACGGGTCTCAGATTTGCTTGAACTTTGTTATGATATTGGTAGACATCTAGAATTATTTCTGAAAGTAGAGACATGAATTAAGCCTATAGTTTTCTTCGTGGCATTTACCTTCTGCAATGATGTGAGATTCTAGGTTCATTCGACATTTATCATAAAACTTTTTTTTTTCCAGATTGGCTTGATTTTAAAAGAAGTATTGTAATTTGATCTGATGAGCATTTCTTGGGTATGGGTCTAATTTTCTCCAGGGTATAGTGAATTACTAGTTTTGAAATGATTACTGTATACAGACCTCAATAACTGGGTGACTTTCGGCAAGTCTTGTAGTGCCTCAATCCTCACTTTCTTTATCTGTAGAATGAAGTCAGTAACAAGATGCCCTGCCAGCTCTTGGAGCTGTGCCGAGTGTCAGATGAATTAGGTAGATGCTGGCCGGATGAGACTGTGGCTCAGTGGCAGAGCACCTGTCTAGCATGTTTGTGGCTCCGAGTTAAAGTCCCAGCACCCCCAGGGAGGGCACTGGGAAACTTGGCAAGTGAAAGATGGTACTACTCAATATCAGAAATCAACTGGAGTGGACCTGTTTGTGTGGAGCCAGAATTTAAATGACACCACACACACACACTCCTTAAGGTGGCTGAGATATCACACATATTGGTTCTATTATAACTTACGGTACACTTTCTTGACACTTTACTGTCTCCTGACCCTTAATCGAATGTTTCTCAAAATTGTCAACATCATCTCTTGTTTCCCTACCTGGTCACTCCCTTTCAACAAGTGCACATTCACGACTTTCTCTGTCACCTGTGTGGTACAGCACCAAACTTGACTTCCATCAGCATCCCCTTTCTAAGTCTGTATTTCAGAGAGGATATTATCCATTCAAAAGTAAATTCCTCGCCAGCCTGGATAAAGCACCGTGCCCTTCAAGTATGCACCCAGTACCTGAGCAGGACCATTGGCTCTGTCTCTTACTCCACGTCTATCTATCTGTCCACTCTTAAAGTTAGTATCCCTTGCCAGCGATCTTTTTATCGTGCTTACATTGTAATCACCTGAACAACAACCTCCTCCTCTACAGATCACACTATCTTCAGTCTCTTTAACCTTGTCAGTCATCAAAACCAAAATGTGTGTGTGTGTTTGTGTGTGTGTGTGTGTGTTCACTGTTTCACTCTTGTGCTCAAAAATCTAAAAGGGCTCCCTGCCTCCTGTGTGAGAGAATGTAATTGTCAGCCAGGTGAGCCCTCTGACATTGGATCTCGCCTCCTTGCTCCCTGTAATGTGTGGCTCATTCATCCTCCTGTGTACCTGTCACTCCAGGTGCTCTGCTCTTGCCTTGTTCACCCAATGTCAGAAGGCTTACCTGGCTGACTTTTGACCTTGATGCTAAGGAATCCAGCTGTCGTATTTTATCCTATCCTGGTCTTTTGGTGGAAGTCGACTGCTTCCTCCCTCAGTTCCTGCACTTGAGCTTACTGGAGAAACTCTTGAAGTACCTTTCTAGCATATAGTTCCACCCCAGCCCCCTAAGACAGTCACAGGAAGCTGAGGTTTAACAAGACCCTGGGAGATGCTGGAGCAGGTACCTATAAGGCACACTGCTATAAGCAGTCAGTAGGAAACAGTTTTCATTCATAGGATGTTTTCCCACTTTTTCCTTCTTGATTTGTTAAAAATGGATTCAGATTTCTTGCACTCCTGGATTTCACTGGCAATTTAACTTCATCCTACCCTAAGAAAACAAAGCCTTAAAATAAGAATTGTTCTTTATTCCCTGTTAGTCGATCTACAAATCTTCATCTGGAGTCAGATCCTTCTCTGCTTGAAACCTTCCCTAGGGCTTCCAGAATAAAATCCTTGTCCATTATCCTAGATTCTATCTCTTCCTTTCTGATACTGTCCATACCCTTGTCACTCCCCATGCTTCGGCAGCACTGCCTTTCTCTCTGGCCCTTGAACATGGTGCATTTGTCCAACTTTTGCCTGGCTCTTCACCCTGTTCACGTGCTTCTCATGCCTTGTCGGCCACTGTATGTCCAATCTCAGCACACTCTCCCTGCCTCTGATTCCGACTAAGGCAGACCAACCCCAGGACACACTCTGAGGCATAACTGTGTTCTATTTTCCACAGAGCACCTATCACCGTCTGAAACCTTCCTGTTTATTTCCATCTGTTCCTCCAATGAAATAAAATGAGAGCAAGGACTTTGTCCTATTGCCTGATTTAAATACTAGTATTAGCATGTAACTAGAAATTAGGTAAATTCACATTGAGAGCTTTTTCCTCCTATAACAATGGAAGAAATATCCTGTCCCCTGCATTTACGGTCACATTCTGTCCCTTCTTGCTTTTACAGTGGCTTTATTCTGCAGATATCCCATCTTGTGTCATCCATGTGTCCTCAATTGAATCATCCCGCCAGCATTTCACTGAGACCCCAGACATGCTTTATATCTAGGACTTCTGATGCCCAGCAGAACTCCATTTCTCTGTCCCTCTCCTCACCCTTATCCACAAAGCTTCTCATGGGCCATTTGCTGTTTCTTAAGCTTCTTAACCAAATGCAGGTTTCTTTCCCACCACTCTCCCCCAGTAACTTTTGGCAAGGTGACTTTTGACCTTCATCCTAATGAATCCAGCTGTCATTTTCTATCCTATCCCTGTCTTTCAGAAGAAGCCAACTGCTTCCTCCTGCTAGAAACCATGCACTCTCATCTTCCACAACAGGACGCTCTTACCTACCTTTTCCACACCTGCCCATTTACTGTTAACCTCTTTTGCCTGGTCTCTAAATATTAGAGGGAATTTATAGCTCAGCACTAGGCCTCTTCCATCTTTTTCCATGTCTCTTCCTACGAGATCTCATCCAGTCTCATGGCGTTAGACATTTATATGGTGATAACTCACATTTGTTATCTGTAGTCCTGATTTGTGTCTGCATCTGGATGCCTCCTGTGTTAAACACACCAAGTCTGCAGTGAAACTGATTCTGCCCAGATCACCCCACACACAGCACAAACATACACATGCACACTTGTGAACACCCATGTGTGCACACACACTCACATGCACACTTGACCTGTTCTTTCTCCAGGCTTCCCCAGCACAGTACACAGTAATCCATTCAGTCAAGGGGATCAAGAGCCTGGAAGTCATTTGTGAATCTCCCAGTTTCCTTAGCCCTACATCTAATCCAACAGGAAGTCTGGCCCACTCTACTTCTTTCAAATTCACCCACTTCACACCATCTCCCTTTGGACCAGGTGTCGTTTTTTTTGCCCTGAACTGTACCTCCTGCTTCCAATGTAACAGTCCAATCCATCATCCACCCAAATGCCAGAATATTCTTTAAAAGGGTACCCGAGGCCATGGTTGTCCTACACCAACGTCCCATGGCCTCTCTACAGGGTCACATCCAGATGACTTACTGTGGCATAAGAAGCCCTGCAAGATCCCTGGTGACCTTCCTTGCTCACCTTGGACCACCCTGCTCTGCTCGTGACACCCCTGCCACTTTTGCCTTCTGTCTGTCCCTCAGTCTCCTGAATCCATGCTGGCTGTTAGTCCTCTATCTGGAAGGCTCTTACCCAGGGCTGTGCCTGACTGGCTCCTCACCATCAGTCACGATGGACATGTATTCTCTTCACAGGGATCCCTTCACCAATGTGCAGCGGGAGCTACGTGTCCTCTTGGCCCTTCCTCCTTAGGGGTGTCACGTTTTGACACATCACTCTGTTTATTTCCTATACTGCACCATCTTACTTATCTCCTGGGATTTATATGGTCTCCTTCTCCTAAATGTGAATTCTGCGCAGGTGAGAACCTGTCTGTGATGTTCACTGATGGATCGCCTGTGCTTAGCACTGTACCTTGGTTAATAGGCATAACCACCATTCAAAAATTATTCATGAAGTAGCCAGGAAACCTAATTTTTCTTCCTACCTGCTTTCTGAACAAGCTTTTGGTTTTGTTTTTATTATCCTACATATATATGAGCTATTATTTATTTCAAGTGGATTTCTAAGCCATTTTTGGTAGAGCCCAATATAGAGATAAATAAATCCCTATTCTCAAGAAAATGCTCTACCTATTTGGTTCTTAACATGGTTTGAGGGATGTGTGTGAATGTCTTGCCATTATCTCTTACTGTAGATGCTGTCAAAATCTACTCTGATCTTTATGCCTAGTTGGGTATAGCAGCACATTACAGCTACTTGGGAGGCTCAGGCAGGAGAACACAGAGTTTAGGCCATCCTAGGCAATTTATTGAGATTCTGTCTGAAAATTTTGAAAGGGCTGGGAATGTAGTTCAGTGCACCCTGGGTTCAATCCCCAGCCCTGAAAAAAAAAATGTCTGACCTTTAAGCCAATTGTAGAAAGATATGAAGAGGGTACAGTGATCATCAGAAAAATTCATGTTTCTTATTGGCTTGTGGAATAACCTTCCTTTCTCTGATTGGAGGAAAACCTGATCTCTGGAATTTTTGTCCCGTGGCCTGAGATTTTGGCAATTTCATTACTAATGAGGATCATTGGTTCCAGTCAGAGCCCATGTGTCTCCACACTAGGGATGAGATTTTTC